GCAAGTTTGTGCAACTATTTTCCATGCGCATGGGCACAAAAAGGCAACCACCGCATGACTACTGCCAACTACGAGCCGGGGGAAGTCCCCAACCCCCAGTCCCCAGTCTCCGACGGCGCCCTCTGCCCCGAACTGCCCCGTCCACAACCCTTAGCCCAGCATGTGGCTAGTGGCAGGCAGCCAACCAGAGCGTAGTGCAAACTGGAGCATTGAAACTATTTATTTGTTGTTGCCAGTCGGGGGGAGGAGGCGGGGATTTTTTCTATTACGCGCTCGTTTATTACGGAAATTCCAGCTCACGCCTAAATGTATGCAGTTTTTCTGCTCCGCAAAGGGCCGAGGGCTCCAGATGCAAGAAATTCCATTCAATCAGTGGAGCGCTTCCATCGTCCTTTGTCGTCATCCGGCCTGCGGTCAGAGAAGTCTTGAACCCTAGTCCTTTGGCTCCTTCCAATTCCTGCGTCGCGCCCAAATTAAGCGATTCCCTGAGCTCACCGTCCCCGCTCTCGATTGATGGCCCACTGTCAATCGCTAAGCTCCTCAGTCAGAACCTGAATCACAATCAGAGTCGGAGTCAGTCTCTTGTAAGAAAGTTGAGGGCGAGGAACTGCGCGACCGGCGACAGAGACAGAGACAACGATAGAGAGAAAAAGGGAGAGAGAGACCGGAGAGAGCAAAGAAAAAAGCGGAGAAAGCGAAACTTTTTAATGATGTAAAGTACAAAGTTTTCTGTCTTGTCGCTGGCGCAAGTAACTTGAGTAAACTTTGAGTTATGCCCTCCCAGCCTTAACATAGATGCGATGCGAATCCGGGGCAGCGGCGACGGCGACAACCTCAAAGAGCAGTCGACAGCGACAAGTTGGGAGGACATCCTTTCGCCCACAGGGACCCGATCGATCGATGCCCGGTCTGCGGGGACTGTGGCTGGTGTTTTGTCGTTTGTTAAAAGTTTTCAACACTCATTTTTATTATGACATACGCGAGAAGTACGAACCGAATTAGTGGGGATGCTGGAAGGGCTGCAAATGGGTTCGCTAATAAAATGCCAATTTGCTGCCATTGAATGGCTGCTTTATTGGCCGCCATTACAACTCGTACGCATAAAGGGCGCTGCCCCATATCCTGAGCCCCAGCACACACGCACACGCATACGCGTACAGAGACTCATGCGTGCGCCAGGACCTTCTCTTGAAGGCATTTTATGACGGCAACATTTACACGCATAAAATATGCATGATAAAACTTTGTTGTTGCAATAAATCAGCCACGGCAGCAGGCCCCGGACCCCGAAAATTGTGCAACGCCTTGTGCTCCCCCGCCTGATGTGATTACAAAACCATTCGGAGCCAACATGGGATCCCTCGCTCCGAATAAGGGCTGCTTATTTATGTCCTGCGTGATCTGCGTTCATCGGGATGCGGTCGTAATGAGTTCCTGGCGCAAATCACTTGCTGCCGGGTGGCAACCGGTGCCCACCCCGGTCCCGCTGTCAAACTACTTAAACTGCCATTAAACTATCGAAAGAGTGCTGGATGAATGCAAGCGGAGGGTGCGAGGGAAAACTTTTGCGGGTTCCTCAATCAGAAATATTATAAAAAGGACGCCCAGCTTTGTTAGAGGTGCAAATGCTTCACAAACAGACAGACCAAGTCGCCCCCGCACACCATCCCTTGCCGCAAGCTGCAGCAACTTTTTGGCCATTGTGTTTTGACTGCCTTTGTTGCATGCATAAAATATTTATGCGCTGGAAAATATGCAGCAACGAAAAGCGGAGGCGAATGCGGTACTCCTTTGCTGCAACTCCGGCGCCGTCGTCTCCATGTGCGTGCAACTTTTCACACTCAAATGAAATTACGAGAAAAAAAAAGGAAAACTTTGCTACTTAAATGTAGCGCTCCCCATCGCTTTCTCTCCTTTCCTCACCAGCAGTTTATTGCTTTCTGCACTTTATCAACCATTTTTCCATGGCTCAGTGAACGCTCAATTGCTGACTGCCGGAGCGAGAGAGCGCGGAGCGCAGAGCGAGAGAGACAGTAAACTTTTCATTAATAACGATTTTCCATTAACTATCGATTGATTTCGAGTCCCGAGGACAGCAGCATCCCGGTGGCAACAACAACAACGACAAGTCGCAAGTAGCGAACGCACTTCAGACAATGCCTGCAACCGGCAGCTACAACAAAAGCAAAAGCAGCAGCAACAAAAACAAACACAACAAGAACAACCACAGCCACGCCAACAACACTTGAGTCTATTTAAAACGCAAACAACAATAAACCGCCAGAGGGTGCCGGTCGATGGTGGGACGGAAGGGTATGGTATGGTCGGGGCTCATAACCGAGGACAACGCCACCGCCGCCGACAGGAAAAACTCATTGAAAAGTTTTTCTTTTTTACACTTGGCGTGCTCTCCCATCCCCCATCCAACTCCCGCACCTAAGCGGTGTATCGAAGGAGGAAGTTTTTAATTTTGTATCGCGCCACTGCCAACTCTGGCTTATATGCGACGAACCTGGCTACGCTATTTCAGGCACTCCTGTTAGATAGGTCTCACTTTGCGATGGTCAGGATTGGATTTGATATCAGCCAGAGGAGTTAATTCTGCTTTATACCTGTGCTAGGATCACTTTAAGCATTGAAATCAGTGGTGAATGGCATTAGAGGAATGCCTTTTCGAGCTGTAAACCAATCACTTATTTATAGAAATTCGAAGCACACAAAACTGTCGCCAAAACTTCACAACTTCAGCCTATTTGCGAATTCTTTAGAGTATGGTCACCTCGACTTTTCACGACTTCTCTTCTAAGGACAGGGGTCCTTGTTGCTACACGCGTACCGTCCGTCTGCCCTCGCCGCTGCCCTTTGTTTGCTCCTGCGACTATTACGGGTATTTCCTTTGTGTAGGTCGCCGGCATTGCGTTTTCTGATATTTTTTCTATTTCTCCCGGTTTTGTTTTGCTTCCACCATTTTTATATAGCCAAAGCCCGCTCGCGCGCCCAATATATATAAATTATTGCATAAAGTTTGGCGCTAAGTTGCAAAAAGTTTCCTTTTCATTGCTGCTGCTGCTGCTACTGCTGCGGTGGTGGCGGCCGGGCGGAGCAGGCTGAGGCAGCGTGAACGACACACAATAGTCTATAAATCTTTATGGTCAACAGAGATTACATGGGCCCAGACGCGGCGAAGAAAGCCTTCATGTAGTTTACTGCCCCTGGCAGAGGCCCTCCCCTCCGTTCCCCTTTTGGCCTTAGAAGCTTTTTAGGCGCTGTGTGCGTTGTTTTGATTTGTGTGCGCTCCTATGCCAGCTGTAGTGGCAGTTGTTGTGGCTTTTCCGATTGTTACGGCGCGGATCGAGGGCAAAGCAGGCGGGACGGTCTGAACGGGGCGGGAACGAAGCATATGGCCATAAAAATGCGGTGCAGACGTGGTAGATACTAGATAAATCATGCCAAAGCCCGAAAAGTATGCAATTCTGGCGGCGAATGAATAGAAAATTCTTGTAAAAATCAGCACCGGGAATCCCCCAAAAGGAGCAACAAAAGCTTGCAGCAAATATATGTAGCAATAGTTCTCTCGGGCACACCTTTAATTGCTTAAATTGTTCTCGTTCCGTGCGACCTTCGACGAACGACTCGCAGTTCGATTTCTCGTGGCCCCATAAACAACTTTTCAAAAGTATAAAAAAGGAAGGAACGTGTATAGGTTTACCGTTAGGATCATTTTACATAAAAATGCAATAAATAGCTTCAACAAAATTTATGGCGCCTCCGGCGGTAGGACGGGGAGGAAGGATTTAAAGGACTGCCCCTTCTGCCGCGCCGGACTCACTCGTAAATGTCAAATGTCGTGTGCGCTGGGCTAAGGGCGCCTTAAAGTATGCTTATAAATTGCTCTAAATAGCAATTTTGGCTGCTCCCACCTCTGCTTCTGCCTCTGCTCCTGCTTTTGCTCTTGCTGCCACATTTCTCGTTTCAAGGAGTGCTACAGCGCCGAAGCCGAAGCCGGAGCACTCGCTCCCGGTGTCGTGTCATTTGTTCGTTTTCTTTATTAGTGTCATGTATTTTTATAGTTCAAAGGACATTTGAATGATTGAATGAACTGTTTGTGCCCCAACCAGCTGCCCCACATCCCATCCCATCGCTTCCCCGGGGTGGCTTGCTTGACCGAAAACGAGTTGCGCGCATGATTTCATCCCTTCCAGCGACGGGTCGCCCTTACGTGCGGTCAGCTCCTGCTCCTACTCGGGCTCCTGGTCGATGTCCTGGTCAGCGGCGGTCCCAGGCACGTTTCATCATGGCCAGCTTGTTGTTGGTGTGGCGACTACATCAAATAACGACTATTGACTACGCCTGTGTGGCGCTTCGTGCCGTCGTTTCCCTACCCACTCTCTGCATGCACGTGTAGGGTTACACGTCGCAGCTCGCTCCCTGCTCCTCGCCCTTGCTCCTTGTAGTCCCCTGACCCAGCACCATCCCTCGCGAGACTCGGTCGCTGCTGATGATGATGTTGTCGCCAGTGTCGCCATCGTCGCTAGAGCCATCATCGACATGGCCTGCCATCGCTGGCGATGACGAATGAAAATCAATATTTATTAGATTACTTTCGAAATTTTATACGAAAATAGAATTTTTATGACATTTTTTCTTCTGGTTTCGCCCTGGGCTAACTTTCCGTGCTCTTGGGCGTGTTAAAGTGTTTGCAATAATCAATTTTTGGGTAATCTGAGCGCCAGCTCTGCTCCAGGCTTTAAAGCGGCTGTCAGCCGGTACATGTGTGTGTGTGTGTGTGTTCCTTTAAGGATGAAATAATGTTGGGGCATTAATGCGACTCCCCGAACGTGCGCTCTTATCGGCCATCATATCTAGTTTTAGTTTATTATGCTTTCCACCCCAAAACTCATAATGACTTAATTATACTCGCAATTTAGCCAATTTTATATCCCACTCTCTGCCGTATCACTTAATATTAAACCCGTGTCCTCCCTTGTCTATCTTTGCAGGTAAGTTGCCATCATCCATTAATACCACCAGCCATCAAATTAGTAAGTACACAAAACGAGCTGCTAACACTTTTTATGTGCGTCTTTAACTGTATGCCCCTCTATCTTGCAACCGTTCGGTCTCCATCCCACCAATACATGTGTGTACGGGAATATAAAGCAAATGCATTTTAGTGCCCTCAGTTGACCTCGTTTGGGGCTTGTTTTTATGGCTCAGGCGAAGCCCAAGCGATGATGCTACTCACGTGGCTCGAAACTAAAAGCTCCCCCGAGTGCCTCCTGCCTCTTTACTCCTTCCTCCTTTCTCCTTCCTCCTCCTGGTGCTATGTAGTTTGGGCTGGGCTCGTCCCACCCCCGGGAGTCACTTAATTATGAAGCTGCACATGAAGTAAAACGTCATAAAGCGTCGAGTTGAGTTGCGCCGAGCGGAGTTCGGTCGGTTGACTTGGGTACGAGTGGCATCATCAGTCCCCGGTTGTCTGCCAGAGCCTCTTCCATATTCTTTTTACAAGGCCAGGACGGGGGCGGTGGCTTGGCGGCATTCTGCAGTTAATTTTCCGTTGCTAAATAAACTGTTTATGGCATTTATGCCGAAAATTTTTGGCCAAAGCAAGAGGCACAAGGAGAGAGGGAAATCCCCGAATGAAGGATGACGATGATCCATGTGTGTGTGTTGGGAAAATTTTTGTATAGCAGACACGGGAGCATTGCTCGGCTTCCTGTTTTCTGTATATAACGCCTCTGAGCTGTGATTTTCGGACATCTGAGAGAGCTTGAAAAAGATATTACTTGATGCTTGATTGAAACGCAAAAATTGCCCCAATGGGCTTGTTTTGGCTATCGAATACATATTTTTTGGGCAGGGAGGAGTCTCCTGATCTTCGCTAGAGCTCCGGAAAACGACGACTTTTGTGTGTTCACTGACCCTTCACTCATACACGACTGCACCACTCACACCGACATAATGAATATTTACATTTTATGCACACTGTGCACTGGGCACACCCACTCTTATACATACCACGAAACTCACACACGCGCCTTTATCCACTGACAATTTGGCAGTCACCGCAATCATAAAAATTTCCACTTCCAAGGAGAGAGCTGGTGGGAAATGAAGCCAGGACCCGTCAGTCAGTCGCCTCTGCGCCTCATTTAAATGCAAATTTTTGACGAGCGGTTTTAACGTTCTCCGCCACCCCCGCCGACGTTCCCTGGCGCTTCTCCGCTGGCGGTGAATGAAAACATTAAAATTAAAAATAAAAAATGTAGTCTGCTTTTAGGCAGAGCTCTCGGGGTATGTTTGTATATGGTTTGGATGGATGGATGTATGTGTGTCTGAGGGGTGCCAGCGCTCGTGAGAATAATTCAAGGTGATAGCTTAATTGAAATATGCTTTTAGGCGCTTTGCCACACCCCGCTCCCGCTGCTGCTTGCCTCATTCGTCCCATTCGCCTTCCATTTTGCATACTTCACTTTGTTGTGTGTGTCTGGGTGCATATTTTATGAGGCTGCGGTCCACCACTGAAACCCACAAAAAGCAAGGCATCGAGCAGCAAGAGCGGAAGAGAATCTGAATCGGAATAAAAAACTGAGCCGAAGCTGCTTAATGTTATGCAAAGTGTTTGAGCCTGCGGCATGCGTAAACCTACAGAAAAGAGGGCGATGGCGATGGCGGAGCGGGCGCCGGGACAGGTGGAGCGGTTGTGGTTCCTGGCGAGGTGGGACGGAGACACGCCTTTAATTGTTAGCCATTTCAGTTCTTATTACAGTTTCAATTGACTTGGGCCGGATGTTCAAGTCGGGGAAATTGCTAAAGGTAAATTCGGTTGAGAGAGGGTAGCACGGGGTATGCCTGCTGGAGGGTAAAGTACGCTTTGAAAGGGCACTGCCGATGGCTTATCAGACCGTAATCCCTCTCGGATCCGCCATAAACATTCATATGCATAAATTTGACATTTGGCTGCTCCATAAAAATACACCCGCCCAACAATACCGCTGGGCCTTTTGGCAGGCAGTCTCCCCGGAACCCTGAAGCACCGGAGCTGGGGAAATTTATGCACATAACATCCACTTGACTCCTGCGCCAGACAGCATGCTCCTGCAACTCTCTACTTGAGCCAAATGAAGAGCGACAGGAAGGAGTTCAGTTCGAGCAGCCGGGATCTGGTTTGCAATTTACAAATTGCGCAAAGTCGAAAGAAAAACAGAGCGGAACAATAGCAATGCTGTCCCGCTTATATTTTATGCAATATGCCACACCGCGTTTTATTAAGCAAATTACAATGAACGGGCCCCTTAAAGATTTGGGGCTCGGGGAATCTCGGCAAGTCCTACTTATGACCTTGGCAAACAGCCTAACGCCTGACGCCTCAGCCCGAGCCCGGAGCCACTTGGAAAACAAACCCAAGTCAGCTCGCATTTTGCTGCTCTTAACGCACATTTTCATATATAAATTATTAATTTCGCATGCCTGCCTGGCCCAGTTCAGCTCGGTTTCCCCGGGCCATCCCCAGATGGGGCACAGGACGAAACCGCACGCCCAAGCAGGCGAAGCCGAAGGATCAGCCAAGGCGGCAGGAAAGCAAATAAGCAGACGGGCGGGCGAGCGAAATGCATTTTGTGCTCCATTAAATAATAAAAGCAAACGTGGCAGAGATAGCGTCTGTCTCCGAGTTCTTTCCTTTGTGTGTACACAATAAAAATCTCACACGAAGCGCATAAAAATAAAGCAGGAGATACCCCAAGGAGGATACTCGCTCTCCACACATCTTATCTAATGGCGGAGTCAAAGCCCCCATTGTGATTTTTAAGTTGCTAACCTTTATGCGGACGGGAGTTCGAGTGTTCGGGTGTGCGAGTGTTCGAGTGTGTGGGCGGGGGGAAAGTGCATAAATAAGTAAACAAATGCCTGTCGCTTAAGATTACATGGCAAATAAGCTGGCGGAGATGCGAGCCAGAGCAGGACAACATTTGAATGCCGGCAGAGGAAACCTCGCCCGTTTACTTACTTATTCATAGCCAGACCTGAGCGGGAAGTGTGTGTCTTGAGGGGGCATAAAAATCAGCATAAACAGCAATTGTTATGGGCTGCGAATGAAGCCCAGATCATCCAAGCTCCGAGCGCACTTCTGTTTCGGTGTAAATTACGCAATTTTAGGCCGCAAAAGCACGCAAATCAAATCAGGGGAGAGCTCTAAGAGCTACAGGATAATGCATCATCGATCTGTAGACTGCAGCTTGCGAGAGGTCACAGCAGATAACAATATTTTATATTTTAATTTAGCTATAAATATGCCAAGTGCTCTGATACGATTCAACTCCGGCTGAAATCAGCTTAGAACAACAAGGGTTGGGACGAGGAATGCTTGATTAGGGGGAGATCTGCGCAGGCTGTTTGACACGCACGTGTCCTTGCCAATGACAAGGGAAATTTTACAACTTTCAAGTTTAATTTGCCAAAAGTAGCAATCAACCAAGAGCCAGGGCCAGAAGTACAGACGCTGAAGAGCGGCCGGAGAGAGGGTTGCTTGTTGAAGAGCCGGGAGGGTGGTTAGGTGAGGGCCAACCCTTTCGAGCTAATTGCTTGGAAGTTGTTAAATGTAAAAATTAAAATGTATAAAATGTGTATATTTTATATTAAACAGAGGAAGGACTCTGCCACTGTCAGTCTCACTCACTTTCCCTCTGCCCCGTTCGCTCACTCATTCAGTGATCCAGTCATCCAGTCATTCAGTCATTCATTTATTCAGCCAGAACGTAGCCTGTTTTATGAGGTGTTAAGTGGGCTTAAATTAAAAGTGGGCGTGGGCGGAATGTGACGAAATGTTTGCATATTTATTTAAGTTATGGCGAAGGCGAGAGGCAGCAGCTTTGGAGAACACTCGTGGGCTCTGCCCCGGTAGGAGTCAGGGGCGGACGAACTCGAGGGGTTGTTCTCTCATTTGAAGAGGGCGACACAGACTTGACTTTTGTTTGTTTTCCGTTTGACATGAAGGAGCCACATGTGCGTGTTATAAATTTATATTTAATAAACTTTCGGCTTTTCAAGACTCAAGTGGTATCAGAGGGATACAAGCCGGGGATCCGATGTGCGAGGGCAAAGGACAAAGGACAGAAGACAAGTACGAGTGCGGTCCGGAAGGTGAAAACGAGTCAGTGATTAACTGGGAACTGGGTGAAAGCTGCTAATAAACATAGAAGGTTCCTTATTAGATTAAAATGCGACAACAGGCATTGTTACCAACCCTTCGTACTCAGGGCTATGTCTATGGCCACATATCTCCTACAGATAATCTATTTATTCATGTTCCTAAAGGACATTTCTGTATAATTCTCGCACATTGCACTTTCCCACCGTCTGTAACTTACTTATGGCCAGCCCTTTAATTATATAGAATTATGTTCGGTTGGGCTGCCAGTATTAAAAAAGAAATAAATATAATTTGAAAAAAAAGAAACTTTCAGTAGATTGTACGTTTCTTATAATAATTTAATAATTTTCTTTCTGCACAGTACTTTTGTTCTTATTTTTCAGTGTAGTGTGTTTATATAAAGGTATCCATTAAATAGTGACCTGATAAATAATAAATAATTTCGACCCGGCCCTTTTGAATAGTTTTCCGGCTTTAATTTATGGATATTCCAACGTTTTATATTCCAATTTGAATCAGAAACAGCTTGGTATCCGCTGCTATTCTGGCAGCACTGTCATCTGTGATTATTTCCCTGTAACGTAATGGGAAATCCAGAGAAATCAGCCATGTCAGAGGACACGTGGCAGCATTCTGAGTAACAAAATCAAATTGCTTATTAAAATAATAACAAGGCCAGCGAGAAAAAGTGGACTTTAAACATGGGACGCAGCCAACCCTCGGAGCCAAACTAACCCCAACCATCTTTCGGGAATCCAGCCCGAGGGCAGAAGCAATTACAGATGCGAAAATCAACCCTGGAAAACAAGGCTCAAGGCCATGTATGCCCGCCGATGAAAACTAAATTAACGAGGCTTCTTTAAGCTTAAAGCCGCCCATAAAATACTG